ATATTCTTCTGTCTCACTGTGTAATAACATAACTACCATGTAGTCTGTATATTTCTTTTACTTATTTATATAGTCCGTACATCTCTGCAGAGCAAGTGCAATAATCCAAGGAAACTGCTGTGTAGCCTTTCCTTATCTCTTTACTGTGCAAATATTTTTATATGTAAAGGAAACATATTCCAGGACATTACAACTTTTCTTATGCTCCTTTGTACTTTATACACTCTTTTTATATAGTCTGTTGTATTTTTATCTTTAATGGCATCTTGCTTTAACTCTGCCCTTTGTACTTTATATAAGCTACTGGAACCAGAATTTCCCTAAAGGAGTAATACAAAGGGATAAATTAAGTTGAGTCTAAGTCTATTTATGCAGCATCAATTTTACATGTCATCTCAAGGCACTTTACAGAGATTGTTCAATCAAATCATTCAACTTCTAACCAATCAGATCGTTTAGAAGTTTTCTAACAACGGAGAACTAGCTGATTGCAACCATTGACTTTTCAGGATATTGATGAGCACGTAGAGGCAGTAAGCAATTACTTGAATTTGTGTCTGTCTTTACATTAAGCAGGCATGCAGCGACAGTGGGGAGGAAAAAGTCCCAATGACAGAAGCAACAGAAACAGGCTCTACTGAAGCCAACTGGGCTTTCAGCTTGTATGCCAGCAGAAGCACTGATCTATAATATACTTTCTATGTTAGAAAAGGCAATTAACTATCTCCATAGGTGGCTCTGCTAAGGAAGGAAACAGTTAAGCAGGTTTTGTTGTCAAAAGGGGTAAAAGAGATCACATAGAGTTAGTCAGAGTAAAAGCTGAGCCAACAGCTAAAAACAGGCCCAATTCTATCATCTACTCTACTGTAGCAACCTGGCTTATGGCTGCATCCAGGATGGTATCACAGCCAACCAGAGCACCTGACCACATTAAGCTACTGAAACAAGAAAAAGCAGAAAGAAACAGTTATTATTATTTTAACTCTACTAGATGCTTCTGTATTTTGCTGTAGTTGGAAACGGGATTATTAGATGTGGAAACATTCAACTGTTTATTTTGTGTAAAAGCTCTCTTGAAATCCCAAGTTATGGTATACAGTTACATGTTGAAATAGAAAGGGCAAATATTTACCTCATGTCACAGTTTCCAACCATAACTGTTGCACATGACTGGCAATGCAGTTGAACTGTGGTAGCCCTAATGTTCCTCTGCAGCTGATTAGTTCTCAGAGACGTCAGAGGCGCTTGTAACAGACTGCAGGAGCACATATGTGTATCGGCGATGATAGAGCGTGATAATACTCCTGGACATCATGAGGAATACAGCTGAGTTTGTATATGTGAAGGAAAATGACAACTGAATGGATGAATCAGAGTTTCCAGCCACAACTACCACATGATTGTTAATAGATTTATGCTGTGGCTTCATGCTGAAGATGTTTAGTACGAACAAAAAATGCTTAACAGGTCAAACTGCAAACTAGACTTTCTTGATTTGTTTCTTCTTCAGGTCTTGGTGAGCTGCGGACATTTATTGGCACTTTATAACCTTAAAATAACAGTTTTTAATGGCATAATATCTCACAGAAATGGCTTATGGTTTACTTTAAGTTGGTCAGGAATTTGGGAATGTCTCTTTCTTCTCAGTGGATGATAGATGTTCTGACACCGAGCCTGTTAATGGAGTTAAGGGACTTCAGTAGCTCACTTTTGGAGAACTGTCTGCAGTGAAGAACTCATCATATCTTCATATCAAGCATTAATTGAAGTCAACATGTCAGCCAATTATTGACTTTGACTTGAACTGTCTGATTTGCTCAGATTAAAAGATTTAACTTAAACATTTAAAGTTATTTTTATGTGGAAAAGCACCTCTTGGCCTGATAGCTCTGATTTTAAATTCAACACCGAACAGAGTTTCTACCAGAATTCCAAACTGTCTGTGAACTTTTGCCTCTTAAAATCTGTGTGCTAATGACGTCTGAATAAATAGTGGGTGTTGCAGTTGCGGGGCAGGATGCAAAAGTTACTCCTGCAACCGAAACGTCTTCATGTCCTTGGGTAAGACTTTAAGCCCAGCATTGAGGACTGGTTGTAGTCAGAGGGACCGGCGGCGCCTCTGTGCAGAAGCCTCTCTTCTGTCAGGTTTCCCAGGACTGCTGTGGTTACAGAGTAGCTCACCACCATGAATAGTTAACAGAGTGTTAGCTTTTGATACTTGCATTTTAGCGATAGTCAATATTTTTGGCCAGTAGTGACGTTGTGTTTCTTTCATCGGTGTTGGCCATTACGCAAGTGTTTGCCGATGCTTTAAGGCCACATAAGGCACATGAAGGGCTGCTCCCTCCTTGTGGAAATTTGGTTGTTGTGTCATTTTTATCATGTAAATGAGGGAAGAAAAAGCAGAATCGGCTCCAATAAAATAGTACTTATCAGGGATTGATAAGAGTAGATAAATTAAAGCCTGATAATCGATTGATAATCAGATTAAATGTTAAATTATGACTTTTTAGAGTTTTGTTCCAAACAGTTTTAACTCTTGTTATTTTAAAGGTACACTATGCAACCAGTGTTGATTTTCCAGCGAGGCTCCCCCCAGAGGGCGAAAGTAAAAGTGCACTGTCGTAAATATGTACAGATGTTCTCCTGGTTTCTCCGTCAAGCCAGGCGCGATTGTTTTGAGCTTAGCAGAAAGGCGAACGCAACGAATGACTAAGCATCTGACGCGCCGCAAACGCGCTGCTGCTCGAGATGGAAAAATTGAATTTTTGCTGCTCGACGCGCTGCGTCAACCAATCAGAGAAGCTGATCTGGGAGCTGGCAGGGAGAGAGAGACAGCGCTGATGATCAGAGCGCTATGATCACTCCTCTTAAACAGTTTATTGACGCCTAAATTAACTTAAAATGCAGAAATCTGCGGCAGAATATGTTCGCTTTTATTATCCTGCTGCCTGCAGTTTGGATTATTTAGATGAAAAACACCTACCAGCTGCTGCGGTGAACCGCGATGAGGCAACCCCGCCAGAGGCTGCTGACGAAGGGATTCCTGCTGTCGGCGCACCGCTGGTATGTGTGGCTCTGAGCGGCTCCGACAGAAAAAACATTGTAAGGCAGATTTTGCTGCTTTTGCTGCGTCCGGTGTGAAAGCAGCACTGCACAAATATCGCCACTGTGCTAGCAACGAGCATGCTTTTAACTGGGGGGTGTAGCAGTTCTCGCCGTAAAGCAAGACCGACTCTCACGAGACTTCTGAGCCTGTGGGTGCGGGTCGGTGCTCCTGCAATTGCAAGTGCGGTATTTCCCCCACAGACCACCAGGGCGGCCGAGAATACCTTTGTTCAACCTGAAATGACTCATTTAATCATCCAAAACGTTATGGAACACATTAATTAACTGAAAAATGTTGCATAGTGTGCCTTTAACTCGGTCTAGTGTGGATCAAGATAAGTGTTAAACTTACCTCCTTGGGAGTTTGATTGACACTTCTAAATTTGTTAGACTGCAGGGTCTTTCACTCTTTGACTTAGCAGAGTATTTGAAATAAAAAGAAAACCCACTGTTCTCACCCAGAACCCCGAAAAACTGGAATTAATTAGTCTTTAAAAAAAAATACACAAAAAAATATTTACCAAATTATAATCAAAAAGTTACAATTAGTCAAAATCGTCAACATTTTTTTTGTGCATATTTCAATCATGGTTTAATGCAGTTGACTTAAAAGTATAGTGGAGGATGATCTTATTGATTTTCATCAAAATAAGTGGTCCTCTCAATTGTCAATAATTCCGGTGATATGTTTAAGTAAGGCACTTTTGCACGATCTTCTCCATTTTGACTTTCACATGCCTTAAATAGGCATTTCTTCTCAGGAGCAGGTACAGGGTTGTGCATTTTTTTTCAAATGGAGAGGGGGTTTCTTTTCAGAAATTTGCAAAAATATTCCACTATATCTTTAACTGTTGAAAATATTGGTTGGAGAGGGTGTGAAAAGTTTTAGTTTTAAATTAAAGGGGTGCCAGCCAAGAAGAGTTTGGGAACCACTGAATTAGGAAAAATAAAGATATAGTTTCATATTTGCTGATCTGTAAAAGATGTCCGTCCTTCCATCTGTAAATGTTAGCGATGTGATGCTGTCTTTATCCAGCTCCAGGTTGTGCCACAGTTTGCTGACAACACACGTGTTTAGCTGTTTTTATTTTTTCATATTTTTTTCTCCTTTTCTATTATTCACTATTTCCTGTGTGACAGCAGGCAGTGTGTGTTTGTTTTGGCTGAGGGTAGAGAGCAATGCAACTTTTTGAGCATCCCTTTCCCTGCCTCCACCTCTGCTTCTCCTCTACCTCTCATTACCTGCCAATGGTCTTATTGCTGTATGCCTGTTCTGCCTTAACTCTGCTGCAGATTTATGTCTGCTTACGAAAAGCTGAATCTGCTGAGACGGTCTAAAGTTGTGTGAGTTATTATACAGGTCCTGTAAATTTAAGTAATTTTTCTATTGAGTTCGGCTTTCCGCCTCATGGCCAGATGGAATGCTCAGCATCAATCTGCTTCAGAGCAGCAGAGGGAGGTATGCTTGTTTTATTGTGCAGATGGTTAAAAGTCGGCTGAAAGCATTAAATCATAACAGATTTGCCTAAAAATTTGTAGGAGTAATGTATATGTCTTAACATGATAAACATAGCATGTGTTAAAGGGCTGTTTGTAGTAAAGGACCTTTTGTCTACCACAGTTTTTCCTTCCACTCAACTTTTACTGATATGTTTAGATAGAGCATTCTGTGAGTTTCTTTTGCTTATTTGCTATGGAAGGTGTGAGTGAAGTGAACTGAGCAACTATTAAATCAACACAATAAAGTCACAACTTTCTACCTTGTGAGAAAGCAAACTTTGAGATGTTTTATGTCTTTTAAGAAACTCTAGATTTTCACTATCAATGTTTTTCTTCTGACGGGGAAATTGAGGACAACGTTTTGTCCCATGATGTTCCTCTCTGCTCCATAGAGCCTCGGCTGCGACGACTACCTTGGATCTGGAAAGGTGGTTGACAAGTGCGGCGTGTGCGGTGGGGACAACACAACCTGCAGGCTGGTCACAGGAGTGTTCAAACAAAGCTTGTCCAAGATCGGCTACCATAAGATAGTGGAGATCCCAGAGGGAGCCACCAAGATCAACGTCACAGAGATGGTGAAGAGCAGAAACTACCTCGGTGGGCTATAAAAACACTTATATATTACATTCAGCTGTAGTGAATGAACATAAAAATGAGTGAAGCTTTAAATATGTTTTAACTTTCAGATAAGGTCCATATTTAACACTTAAATGCTTCAAGAAACATCCCGAAATACTGAAACTTAGAGACATGTTGTTCTTTGGTTAACCACTGAATTGTTGCCTGATCAATATCAGGCAGAAATGGCAAAACATTTTTAGGACCCATAATAAAATGTTGAGGCAAGAGATTAAGTTCGTTAAACTCAAATATCTTCTTGTTTTTTTTTTTAAGATTTAGCAATCTTGCCGCTATGACACACCATGCATCATTTCTTTACTTTTAAATGCTGGAAATAGGCTTTCGTAACAATGTGCTGTGTACTGATATGTTTAGGTATTTGCTTGTTTTGCTTTTTTTTGCTTTATGATCTGTGAATATTTTCAATCTTGATTTAAACACAGTTATGCGTCGCTGTATTTTCAGTATTTTACCGTATCAACCATGGCAGTGTTAAGAGTAGCCTACTTGTCCATTCTAAAAGCACAGTGTGCTTTTGTCCCCCTGCAACTGAAGCATTTCATTTTCAATCCTGCCTTCCAGTTTTTGGCTGCGTTCTTCTTTATTCTACCCCTGGTTATATGTAGTAAACTTTAGATATCCACTTACTGCTCCAATGGCGACCGTTAAAAGAAACCCCAACAGGAGTCATGAAACAGGCAGTTAATCTTGAATGCTTTTATATGATATGACGTGATGAACTGAGAAAATCATAAGTTATCGCTGATGTGTTTTGAGGATGTAAACAGTTTATTCTTCTTTTACATTCCTGGTTTTATTTACTGCTGGCCAGAAATTTTCAGATTGTCAAATTGAGAGCAAAAATACCAAAAGTTTATAATATTTATACACACATTATTATTTATAATAATAAGTCATGATAATCCTACAATGGCTAATAATAATGCATGAATTTCTACATTACAATTTTTCCCACAATTAGTTATTTAATCTCTATAGATGTCTATAGACTATAATCTAAAATCTCTATAGAGTTATAGACACTGTAGTAAAACGGACTGATATTACTGATCAGTAAAGCCGGGCATACATTGTATTATTTTTTTCAATTGTTGCACGCAGCTGGTGCTCACACTGTACATCTAAAAACCACATGGGACTCATCTCTGCAGTGAGATGGAGTTGTCTATCTGGAAGCCTTAAAGGAATAGTACACCCAAAACATGATTAGCCTTCATTTTCTACTCACCCTCATGATGAACAACACTCTGGAGTACTTTTTTGATATCTCAAATGCATCTGGAGATCTGGGAGGCTTCTTGCTGTCTGCTGACATTCAAATAATGGAGGTCTATGGCGCCCGAGGCAGAAAGGTCCATAAAAGTCCACAAAAAACGTGTCAATATTCCTCCATACTGCTCGTCCAATGTATTCCAAGTGTCCTGAGTGGGTAGCGTCCATAATTTACTCGAAACAAAGTCATTTAGAATGTTTTTAGAGCATAAACAGTAGTGTATAGGATTTCCTAAAAGCGCGTTCACGAGTCTACGGAAACCGCGGCAGACCAAACCAGATGAAAGTGCGCATTCAGCTCGGCGCATTCAGCTCGACATCTCGTTTTAAGAGAAGAAGTGGAATATGAATCTCACTAGAATGAAACACGCTGCTTTGGCAATTTGTGCGATTTTGTGCTGAAAACCCTAAAAAGAAAGGTGACAACATATTTGGACAAAGACATGGCTGAGCAAACGGGGCAACTAGGGTTTGTCAATTTCACAGAAAGAACTCCATTTCACTCACACTTCCACCATGCTGCTGTGTTTTCGTCTGAGAGGAAGAATCCTTGTTTGTCCAATGAGCGATTTGTTCACGACCACCTTACGACGGATGACTGAATTTCGAACATGTTTGATTTTTTTCCTGACCTTATGATTCTTGATCCGGAGGTGTTCGTGAGACGCTAGTCGCTCCACGTTACCCCCTGTACACTACATGACGCACAATCAGGCTGAAAGTTGGCCCGATCGAAAAATTCACAACTGGAAAATCGGGCTGAAAAGGCCAGAAAATCTTACAGTGTAAGTCAGACTGCCTACTGCGGCAGCAAGGCTGCAGTCAGTCTTACCACCTTATGGGGTTTGAAACTGTGATACCTTTAATAATAGTCATAGGTCTTTGATTTTCCACAGCAATACTTGTTTGTTTTTTTTGCAACATGAAATATTTTGCAAGCAACAAAAAAATGTACTGAACTAAGTTTTCAGTCAGATGACTCACAGTGAGTAAACGTGGGTGGAAAGGTGAGCACAGCTTTTGCTTCATGTAGCTAAAGAAATCCAAATAATGCATTTTATTCAAGTAACTTCAAACCAGGGGAAAGATTTGAAAGGTTGAAAAAGGTTTCCACATTTTTAAAAGTCCCTAACCTTTCAAACTTGTATGCAACGGATGTTTAGGGATGTCTTACTGTGATGCAGCCTTTCAATGGAAACTATGATTCACTCAACATGAAGGCTGTTTTCTTACAGAGGTGTAACAGTTGGACAGATTTTGAAGTGACATTTTGGCATTGCAGACATTATTTGATTTAAAGGCACACTATGCAACATTTTTCAGTTAATTAATGTGTTCCATAACGTTTTGGATGATTAAATGAGTCATTTCAGGTTGAACAAAGGTATTCTCGGCCGCCCTGGTGGTCTGTGGGGGAAATACTGCACTTGCAATTGCAGGAGCACCGACCCGCACCCACAGGCTCAGAAGTCTCGTGAGAGTCAGTCTTGCTTTACGGACGAGAACTGCTACACCCCCCAGTTAAAAGCATTCTCGTTGCTAGCACAGTGGCGATCCTTGTGCAGTTATGCTACGTTCACGCAGCAAAAGCAGCAAAATCGTGTCTGCTGCTTCATTTTTGCTGCTTGAACCAGTTAGTTCTGACGCTCTGGCTGTGCGGTGCAAAAGTGTGTCTGACGCGCGTTGGGCGGAGCTTCACTATCCTTTCTCTGCCTTGCAGCTATATTTGCTGTGATCATTTGGAATAAAGTAGTTTTAATATGTGTTTAAATGAGAAAATACACCTGAAAACGTAATCAGTGCAGTCAGTTCATTCAGATTATTATCCTGCCTTCAATATTTTTTCTGTCGGAGCCGCTCAGACCCCCACATACTGGCGGTGCGCCGACAGAAGGAATCCCTTCATCAGCAGCCTCTGGCCAGGTCACGTCCTCGCGGTTCACCGCGGCAGCTGGTAGGTGTTTTTCATCTAAATAATCCAAACTGCATATTCTGCCGGCAGATTTCTGCATTTTAAGTTAATTTAGGCGTCAATAAACAGTTTCAGAGGAGAGAGATCATAGCCTCTGATCATCAGCGCTGTGTCTCTCTCCCTGCTTCAGCTGCTCAGACGCGCTGGGCCTGCTGCTCCTTTGCTGCGCCTTGACGCGCGTCAACCATTGACTTTGCATGTAAACTCGCTGCTTCTGTCGCGCCAGCTGCGGTGTGAACGCAGCATTAGTCATTCGTTGCGTTCGCCTGTCTGCTAAGCTCAAAACAACCGCGCCTGGCTTGACGGAGAAACCAGGAGAACAGCTGTGCATATTTACGACAGTGCACTTTTACTTTCGCCCTCTGGGGGGAGCCTCGCTGGAAAATCAACACCGGTTGCATAGTGTACCTTTAACAGAAGCTGTTCTAACATAGCAAAGCAATCAGAGCGAGAAATTAAACTGCCTTCATACGGACAGGTTTCCCTTTAGAAAAAAAATCTGCTAGTTGCTGGAAATGAATATATATCCAAGTAATTAAATTGAAATTGACAATTCAGATGCAAATTTTTCTCCTGCTTTTTGTCACACATAATAAATCATTAGAAAAACTCATGTCTGCAGATTTCTGCAGTTCAACCTGAAAGAATTGAAATGTCCATGTTATTTTGTTAAATGAAAATGTTATGTTCTACGGAGCCCCTCTGACATGGTCAAAAAAAATGTTTCATTGTGGCCAGGAAGTGGTATTTCGCACGAAATACTTATTAATAATATCAATAAATCCGCCCCTGTTTTCAGGCTTATGTTAACTGTGATGACTTATCTTGGACAGGCTGCTATGTAAACGGGCCTTTAGTCCTTCGTTTAGCTATGCTGCGGTTGTTTATACTACGCCTTTTCCACCTAAAATGGCGTCTTAGCAACAAATGTCACGTGACTGGCGGAGACCGACTGGGTGAGTAAATCGAGCGCGCCTTAGACCTTAGAGAAGGCGCGCTCGATTTGCTTACCCAGTTGTCCAGGAATGATATTAATATTAAGTATTTCGTGGCCACAATTAAACATTTTTTTTGACCATGTCATCAGAGGGGCTCCGTAATGTTCTGTTTCTGGAAACCATTAATTTCACCTGACCTAAAATTAAAATCCCTTACTATGAAAAAAATTATTGAAACATTTAGTTTCAATGTGAATATCTACTTCAAGTCAAAGGCAATACTTTTAAATTACATTTTGTTGCTCACATGAATGTGAGCTTATTAGATGAGTATTTCAACATGGATGTGGCCATGTGGCCAGCACTGCAACACTGTGAGCTGTGTTCTTGTTATAACTGATCCATTTTACTCCAAATTTTAGATTTAAGAGAAGGATATACAAAATGTTGTTTTGTATAAACTCCGTGCATACAAAATGAAGATAAAATTTGTCTAAGAGTTCAGTCTGAGAGAAGAGCATTTAAGAGCAGCTAGAGAAAGAAGCTAAGCAAACAGCTGAAGCACCACGATTGTTGGACTATTACTGAATTATACAATAGGCTACATACCCATCATCCATCAGATCGTGAGCGATTTGCACAAACCAACCAGAAAACCACAGAAAATTTCAAAAAAGGGTTTTAATTTATTTCAAAAAAGTGTTCAAAAATTATAAACTGTGCCCAAAATTAATTAGGGTACTTGCATAAAGAACTCAAGCACAAACTGACCTATCAAACAGGACATGAGGGAAACTTAAATAGTGGCTGATCAGAGCACTGTTGACACACAAGGGGGATAACTTCCTGACAAACTAACAAACAAATAAACTTAATTAAACAGATAAACACTTGCCAGACACTAAGTACTTTTTAAATTTAACAAATTAACAAAACTACCCAAAACAAGGTATATCTGAACAAATGATAAATTTCCCTTCCCATTACAACAAATGGTGTGACCCGCTGATTAGCCTGCAATGACCAATTGAGCCGAAAGCTGGAGCTCATTGCAGCCCTCAAGCAGCAGATCCAGAGGAAACTGGCAACTCAAAGAAAAAGAAATGAATCAATTGCATTTTAACCAAAATATAACAAATTGGCAAATTAAGTTAACTAAATATGTGCACTGCAAATAGCTAACTAAATGTCAAGCTAATGAAAACATTTGAAATGTGCAACTTATTTTGAAAATGAAAAATATAGAAGTTACCAGACAGCTTTAGAGTGTGACAGCAGGCTGTCACACAGATTATAATAATTACTTCTGGCTAATGAGCTCTTTTTATAAGTGGTAAATTGTAACAGTTCTTAATATTCATCTGATTATCAAATACATTTGGCCTCTTGCCATATAATTTTATCTAGGTTAATTACTAGTTGGTATTCCTGGTTAAATTCTGTCATCCAGGTCATGGCAGCAACAGGCTTTTGATTTAAGCCTGTTTTTAGGCTCCTTGTTAGCATTTACAGTATATTGATAAGGTTCAGTCTGTTTATTTTAACCCTCTGCCTACTGATGGTGGTCAGAGGGCCCGGTGGCACCAATGTACGGCAGTGAGCCCCAGGGCAGCTATGGCTATATTGTAGCTTGCCACTATCAGTGTGTGTGTGAATGGGTGACTGACTGAATGTAGTTTGGTCGAGTCTCCTGAATTGAAAAACAAAACCCTATATAAGTACAGGCCATTTCACCATTGCCCTGCAGCTAACCCAGCAGCATCTGGGCTTACTGGAGGGTAATAAACAGACGGCTGGACATCATTGGAAAGGCTTGGCCGGCTATATGGTCATCTTTATATAGGCTTTGATCTAAGAGGACAGATGAAGCTTTGCTTATGGTACACACCCCCAAAAGTCAAGAGCAACATAAAAGATGGATCATTGTGTTCTTGGTCAGTCATGGATTTTGTATGCAAACACCCCAGTGGAAGCCACTGTTGTGCTCTCTTTTTAGAAACATTCACCTTAAATAAGGCGAGTAATTGTATGAGGCAGAAATCACCGGGAAGGTGCACCGCTGTTAGTGGAAATGATCTCTATGTGGAGTCTCGAAGCCTTGGAATAAACGATGTTACCCTATCCAGACTGTTATGTCAGTAGCTACGTTTACATGCGCAAAATTTCCCCGATCCGATCCAAACCTTGGTTGATCGGAAATTCAAATCTCCGTTTACATGGACACTAAATGAAATGATCTGATCATGACGTGTGTATACATGTACCAAGCGTTGGATCAGATTAAATCTTTTAAGCATGCGCAGAACTTCCTGCCAAACTTGGCAGTTCTGTCTGCGTCTGGTTTTTGGGAGGCCTGACAAACGATGCGCTCGGAGCGAGCGCAAAGAAAAACGGAGAGAGGAGGAAAAAAGCGCTTGGCAGCGAAATGTCCGAGAGAAAATGTAGAGAATGAGCGATTGAACCAGCGTGGGAGAGCGAGTGGGCTGTGGAGAGGAAGAAGAGGAAGAGGAGGAGGATAAATTCCTGCTTCCTGCAGCTTTAAATTAACTTGATTGTATAAGTCGGCGTTCCTAGACTCCTCCCGCCATGTTGTTCACAACAAGAGCGAGAGCGACCGGTGGTTTCCTGTTGTTGACAAGGCGGAAAAACGTCACGCTGACGTCGCACACATGCGCAGTGAAGATTATTTTACTCTTAAGATCCGAATGGGTGTTTACATGGACGCCAATCAGAATGGCGATCGGCAAAAACCACCTCTCTCTTTCGGAATTAAATTTATTTCCGATCGGACCGAATCGGATTAGAATCTTCAGTCTGACATGTTTACATGAAACATTTTTGATCTGATCAGGCCTTCAATCCGATTAGTTGTGTCCATGTAAACGTAGCTATAGATTTTGTTTCTTATCTGTTTAATCTACAGTACTCAACCCTGATAACCTACCTGATCCTAATCTTTTTATTTATTTTCTCTATTTTTACATGGTCTGCAGGGTTGGTGATCAAGAATCAATAACTGACTGAAACCAGTTCTACACTTTTAATTCTCACAGAAATGTTAAATATTTTTATCTTTTTTTCTAGTTTTGAAAGAAATCGAATTAATCTGGAAGTCCTCATACTGCCCCCCCCTTTGTCCTCTCTCTCTCTGTCAGACTCCTTTCCATACTGTAGATATCTAACAGTTCTTTGCCTTGTCCAAACACTCTTTTACAAGCTTGTCTAATGTTACACTCCTAATGCTTTTCTAATAGCCTCTTACATTTAATCCACAAAATGAGCGGAAAACATTTTGTTACAGGATTTGCATGTAAGATTTTGCCGGCACCAGCAGATTGACACAGTAGTTGAGAATATTGCTGTTAAAAAGCAAACATTTCCTCTCTCATTTAGCTTTAACTCATTTCTAGCCATGTATAAATGCAGAATGATATGGGTTTATTTTGTTTTCTGGTCAGCGGTCAACATTATTTTAATAAAAATGATGAATATAGAGAGGATTCTCTGTCCAAACTCCCGTTTTGGTTTGAGCTTAGGGTTGCTATTTGGTCTCATTCATTTCTGTCTCTAACAGCTCTGCGAAGCCGTTCTGGGAGATCCATAATAAACGGGAACTGGGCGATTGACAGACCTGGGAAATATGAAGGTGGGGGTACCATGTTCACCTACAGCAGACCCAATGAGATTAGCAGCACAGCTGGGGAATCCTTACTTGCGGAGGGCCCCACCAATGAAATCCTGGATGTTTATGTAAGGAAAACAAAAAGCAATATAGATAGAAATGTGTATCCTTTTTGATTCAAGCAAATGGTTAGACATGAGGCAAAGAAAAAGTAGGAAATCATCTATTAATGTGTTGAAGATGTTATTTAATTTGTCTTGAAACTCTCCAACACTTCTCTGTAGATGATCTTTCAGCAGCCGAACCCTGGAGTTAAATATGAATACATTCTTCCCTCTGAGCAAATCATTACGCCTCATCAACCAACCCACACAGCACACGGTAAGTTAGAGAAAGTCTTGATTTGTTGTTTTTTTAATCTGCTTTTTGAATATTTTGGATTAGATAAAAGATTATCCATTCTTTTCACTCAATGTGAAAAAATAATCTCAAAATCATGGATTGTTTCCACCAGTTGTTCAAAGGGGGATCAAATTTATCTGGACTTTAAAAGTCTGGTTTATGTCAATGTCGGGATCAATTACCGTAGTCTGTTTTACTTTATTAGTTGTTGAAAGAAAGTATAATTAGATCAATCTATTTCAAGTCCAAATTTTCTGATAATTAAACCTAATTTATAATTTCAACCCCACAAACTGAAGGTTTGTTCTTGATAAAAAAAAAACATAATCAGATTATGTGATATATGTTAAAATTAGATCTAAAGTTCAACTAAAACATATTTTCTTTAGTTCAACTGTTTTTAATATTCTTTTTTGTTTCTGCATTTTTTGTTTTATTTTCTTATTTATTTTTTTTATTCTGTTTTATCTTCCTGTATTTTAATCATGTAAAGCACTTTGCATTGTCTTTGTACTGAATTGTGCTATCCAAATAAATTTGCCTTGCCTTGCCTAAAAAGTTCCTTTTCATTGTTTTATCAAATCAATTATCTGAAATTTCCTGGATTACATTTGAACCTCTGGCCCTCGACCCAGAAGTCGACCCCAGTAGTTAGTGGAATTTAACGGTTTTCAGTCTGTCCTGTTGTGACTTCAGCATATCCATTTTGAATCACATAACTGTGGGAGTGTCGTTTGTTGCTCCCTCTGTTCGAATGTTCGTCCTAACCCCTAAATAAAGCACTATATAGGGGGTGCACCATCTTACATGTGTGTCCGACTGTCTAGTGGATGAAAATGTAATGGACCCCAAATTTCTCACAATGCACTTTAAAATATAGTTTACGTTGATGTTCACTGGGTTCAATCGGCAGATATATCCCAGAATGCGTTGCGAAAGCTCTCCTTGCAAAGCACCATGGGGTTTGCTTTGGGGACAAGAGTGAACAAAGATGGTGCAGGTGTAGGTACCAGATCTGCTCAGGTGGTCAGATCTGCTCTGGTCCTGTGCATGCCAGTGACGTTACACTACGTGATTGGCTGAACGTCTCCACATAGATCAAACCAGTATTGATGGAATAAAATGTCTGTTTCAATAATAGAAGATGGTAAAACATCTACCAAATTCAGTCCAGTTCATGTCTATTATGCCTGTATTAAGCAGGTGAAGTCTAGTTTTATATTTCTGTATCTGTGTCTTAGAAGACGCTCTGAATGGACCGGATGATAATAAGCAGCAGAGCCACACCCAGCAGGAGAACCACAACCAGGCAGGTGTGGGAAAATATCAACCCAATCTCCCTGACTTCAGGGTACCTGCTGTGGTTCCTCCAAAACATGAAAGGGACTACAACTGGAAAATGACTGGTTTCACAGAATGCAGCGCCTCCTGTGGAAAAGGTTGGAACAACATTTGGAATGTTTTACTATGATTTTTAAAATAAGACACGATGAATTACGTTTATTTTTATTTCTTAATATCTTCAGATAATATTTTTTTTCTTCTTTATTTTTGTCTGATTTGCACTGTAAAGCTCTGATTTGAGGTCAAACACCAAAGTGTTGGTGTGAAATTAGTTGAATAACACAGTGTCTTTCCTCAGGTTTTAGACATTCAGTCTTTCACTGCGTCCACCGGCTGAATCAGGTCGAGGTCTCGGATGCTTTGTGTGAAAGTAGCAGCCGGCCAGCCCCACAGGAGGAAGCCTGCAACCTGCAGCCCTGCCCAGCATTGTAAGAAAAATCACTTTTATTCTTACTGGGGAATTTCTGATTACAGCTTCACTTGAAGGACACTGTATTCAAAATGCTGCTAAAGTATGAAATTCTACTGAATGAATATTGCCATTATTATCATTAATATCACTACCAGCTTCAGACAGTATTACAGTATTGATTTAAGGGACTTCTGTAAAAACTGACTGACTGTTATATGTGTCCATTTTCCTAAATTAAAATATTCTGGTTTGAATTGTTTAATTGGTTTTGATTTGTTTTGACTCTAGCCTTCCACATATCTAAGTTAAAGTTAAGGGACACAGTCTTCCAGGCTTTACAATACCAAAAAAAGAATACAGCATTGAATCTATGTGTTATTCATTCATGTGTTTTTAAAACAATATCGACAATAAAAAAAACAAGAAGCTGCCTTTTTTTCTCCAAATTAAACCAGAATTATTCAGAAATCAAATCAAGTTACTCATACAGAAAAAAACGGAGCAATAATTTTAATGGAAATTAAATGGACAGTGTGTAAAAAATGTGGCTTTGATTATCAAAGGTCAAATGTTGTTTTAATAAATACATATTCTGCAAAAGTCTAAGAACATCAAAAATAAAAAAGGGTTCTCATAGCATTGAATTGGTAGTTCATCAATACATATGGGGGCAGAAGATGCCATGTTGCGTTACTATTTTTTGATCATAGCGGATGAAAAGTGACAAACTTGTCAGCCTGAAGTGTTTAACCTTTATCTAAAAAAGGTGCTGTTGGTATGGAGAGCCATTTCAGCCAAAATTAAATAAATACATAAATGGGTGAAATAAATAAAAAATGAGTAAAATAAATCAAAAAATGAAGAAAATGAGTGAAATAAATAAAACATTTGTTAAATAAATAATTTAGCTTTTTCATTAAACCAATTTTTAATTTATTTATTTTTCATATTATTAATTTCCCAATTTCTCTTTTTCATTTATCTATTTGTCATTTATCCCTTTATCCATTTACCCATTTTTCATTAATCTAATTTTCATTTAACCACTTTTCAATTTCCCTTTTTCATTAAGCCAATTTTTTTATTTTTTTATTATTCAGATTATCTATTTCTCAATTTCTATTTTATCTATTTTTCATTTATCTATTTTTCATTTGTCCATTTTTCATTTATCCCTTTATTTATTTACCCATGTTTCATTAATCTATTTTTTAATTTAACCATTTTTCAATTTCCTTTTTCCATTAACCCGATTTTCTATTTCCCAGTTTCATTAATCAATTTCTCATATTTTCTTTTATCTATTTTTCATTTACCCATTTTTCATTAATCTCTTTATCTATTTACCCATTTTTCATTAATCTATCTTTTAATTTAACCACTGTTCAATTTCCTTTTTTTCATTAACCCGATTTCCTATTTCCCGGTTTCATTAATCAATTTCTCATATATCCCTTTTTTATTTACCTATTTTTCTTTTATCTATTTTTCATTTACCATTTGTTGGAAAAAATTTTAATTTTCCCATTTTCCAATTTCCCTTATTCATTAAGTATTTCCTTATTTTTTAATTTATCACATTCTATTTTCCCCTCTTCGCTTCTGCTTTAATATGATAATGAGGGGCGGTGTCTTCAGGCTACAATGGCAGCCTATTGGTTAGTTAGATCCAACTGCAGCGCTCAGTTCCTGTTCAGTAGCAGTCGAAGTTGAAGCTGTTTTTTCAAAAGTAAAAGTTAAACAAAACTCAAAGGACCATAAAACACGTCGGATATTAAACTTACAGCGTTCTAGTTCATCTATTCGATCGGTAGCTTCCCTAAGAAGAACCGATACTGTGGACTTTCCCTCCGAAAAGCAGTCTAAAAATGGCGAACACAGAGGGTGCAGCACGTTCTGTATATATTTAAATTTATTTATTTAATTTTGGCTGAAATGGCTCTCCATACTCCATATGTTGGTGGCAAAGGAGTTAAAATAACCAAAAACAACTGTAAGTCTTTCTACCTTACACCTTCTGTCGTAACGGACCCCTCCATTCAGAACAGGTAGAATGTCACTACGGGGCATCTGTAGTAGTTCTCACATGCTTCATAGGGAGGCGCAAGTCTGTCGTTTGTGATTCATTTAATGAAGCAGAAGATGGAGGTAGATCACACTGTCCCTTTAAATATAGAGAAAATAGGTAATGATAGTATGAATCCATTCCTCTAAGAGTTTGACTTTGACACAGAGGGTTACAGTGAGGTGACATAGTTTGCACTGCTGTTGTCCCCGCTGTAAACAGACGTCTTAAAAATTAACATAGAATAATTGATAATGCAAATTAATATATATCTACTTTAGAAACCATTGTCTTCTCCAGGGGTGGAAAGTAACGAATTACATTTACTTAAGTTACTGTAATTGAGTACTTTTTATGAGTAATTTGTTATTTTCTGAGTAGTTTTTGAAATATGTAATTTTTACTTTTACTCGAGTAAATTTTAACCTAAGTAGTTTTACTTCGCTACATTGTTACTGAGTAAAAAAAAAAGAAATAAATACTGATGATGAAAAAAATTTAATACGGCCGGCAATTTAAACCCCTGCGTCGCGGAACCGACACTTAATCGCCATTAAAAATTAGAAGAAGACTTTTGACTTTTAACAGCACTTTATTTACACAATTCAAACATATAAACAAGTGATGTAAAAATAAGTGACAGTTAAAAATCACTATTAAAGTTAAACAGGTGTCAGTTAAAACCATTAAATGAGGAGCTTGTTAATAACAGTGGGATCCTGCTGCGTTTTAATTTGATTTCTGGTATCTTTTGGGCATTTAATTTTATGTGCATTTTGAAAACTTTAAAATGTAGTTTAGATTTCTTTATTCCTATCATGGTGTTGTCTGTTGGACAGTAGGATTGAAAGGGGTAGTGCCAGGGGCAGTGGCGGCCTAGTGGTTAGGGCATTGGGCTTTGAATCCTGAGGTTGCGAGTTCGATGCCCCACTCCCACAGACTGCCACCCTGGGTCCCTGAGCAAGACCCTTAACCCCACACTGCTCCCCGGGCGCCTCACAATGGCAGCCCACTGCTCCCCAAGGGGATGGGTTAAATGCAGAGAGTTCATTTCATTGCTCTGTACTTGTGACAGTGTAATGACAATAAAATTGAATTATTATTAAAATTGTTTGCACTTTATGGTTCAGGTTGTCACTGTCCTTGTGCTATGAGGAAGTATGTTCTTTAGCCCAGCTGATCTTTTGCAGGTGTGGATGTCCACTGAAATATGCCTTGAAATTGATTAAAACACCTTGTGGTCAATTCGATTCGTGACTCATCCTTTTTTTGCATTAAATAACTCAAAGTAACTAAGTAACTTTTACTCAAATTACATTTTAAATGAAATAATTTTGTACTCAATTACAATTTTTTAGTACTCTTTCCACCTCTGGTCTTCTCTGTAGACGATGCAACTGCATTTTTTAAGTTGAGCATCGCTGATGTCCCTTTTATTTGGGAACTGGTGCTTCATAAAGAATCTTCTCACTGTTTTTTTTTTTTTTTAACAACTTGCAACACCCAGTAATACCAGTACAGCTGATGTTTCAGCATGTCTTGCCCTTTAATGTTCTCTAGTCTCAGTCATCCTTAACTTTCATAATCTCTCCTGGACAAAACCCATCTGAACCTTTGATGAAAATCAAAATTGTAAAATTACTAACATCACGTTTCTATTGCACCAGTTGGGACATTGGGGAGTGGTCAGAGTGCAGTAAGACCTGTGGCCTGGGCATGCAGCAACGGCAGGTCCTGTGTCGCCAGGTTTACGCCAACCGCACTCTAAACGTTCACACGAGCCGCTGTGGACATCTAGAACGACCAGAAACAGCAAGTACCTGCCAGCTGAAGATCTGCAGTGAGTGGCAGATCCGCTCCGAGTGGACCTCTGTGAGTGGAGACGGTCTATATTTTTTGAAGGATTTTACAGTAAATGAAATAGCTTTTACTTGAATGTTTAGATGTTGAATATCTGTTTTGTTGTTTTGCACTGCCATTGTGTCAGTTTGTTCACACGTACAGAAAATTAAACTTATGGCAAAGGATAAAAAGGCAAGAGTCTTCCTCTGAGTGCCAACCTCTGCATTGCTGATGCAGCTATACACTCTGTGTCTCCCTAGTGTTCAGTGCCATGTGGGCTGGGTCAGCGGTCAAGAGAGGTACACTGTGTCAGCAATGTGGGCGACTTTGTTCCTGATGAGGAGTGCAACATGAATCTGCGACCAGCCGATATAGAAAATTGCGATATGGGAGCCTGTGCCAAGAGCTGGTTCTACACTGACTGGGGAAACAGGGTAGGAGAGAAAAACAAAGAGATGCTTTAGACTTCTGATATTGGTTCTAACTAGAGTTGTTTAAGCCCTTACTGCAATACAGTTTGTCATAACTGTCGAAAGAAATTCCAACATGTGAGCATCTGGTTAGCTAGCATCGGTTCAGCATGCAGTCGCCATTCGCCTCTGCTGGCTTGTTTTTAAAACCCATTAATCAGAAAAAAAACCTCCAATAGTGTTAACAGTTTAATCTATAGAACCAGAATGTATTATCTTACCTGAACTAATTTACCAAATTCATACAAATAACACCCAGAATCAGTCTGCCTACCAGACATGAATTAAATTGTTTTTTATTGAAGAATAAAGAATACAGAATGGATCAAAACATGATGACAAAATGATTACAATAGGATAATTTTTCTTTGACTAATATAGATTTCTAAGATAGTTAGCAATGTAGAAGCATTTTATACAGATAGTCTTTGTATATTTCTATGTTCCTTGCAGAGCTGATGTTTTCAATTGATAGCATCACGGTGACGTCAAACATGCGAGTGCCAGCCTAGCAATAATCTTAGGAGAGGTAAACATTTGCTTAACAAACACAAAATTAAACATTCAGACAATGGATTTTATAAGTGTTTTGAGTCATAATGATTAATGAATATGAAGAAAACCTTTTACCAAAACATAATGTCTGTCGAGGAAAGAAATTGTTGAAGGTAGGGAGAATCTATGGGTGGCCAGAAGAAGGACAGAGCCTAGAAAGGCCATGGCTTAACAAGGCTAGTCTCTAGGCTAATTTCGGGAGAGTGAAGGAGGACTGCGAAAGATCAGAGAAGCATGCCAGGCAGAACGACACAGCTGGGGAGAGCTGACATCAGCTGCCCGGTGTCTGTACTGGAGGTAGGACTACGAAACAGTCCTGCTATGGCTAAATTAAAACGGCTTTTTTAAAAGCCACCTCAAGGTTTCAAGATTTGTCTAGATTATTTTCTACATCTTCCGTTTTGAGTAATAAAAACTTTTCTTTAGTGCTTCCTTCACCAAAACAGTGATCAGTTCATTATAATTTTATATCTCCTAATTTTTATACTTGATAATACAATAACAATGCTTACTACGCCCGTAAGTTTGAATTTGGACTCCAGGTTTTGCTAGTTTCATTGATCCGCAAAAAGCTTTCACCCAAGCCGATCTTCTTGGTCCATTCTCGATTGGAAAGGATAGAAAACAGGTTTATTTACCTCCCAGGCATAACTTCTGCATCCATAAGCAACAAAAGACTTTAGTATTAGGGCAGATTTTACATTAGGCCTATCTATAGTTAGTCAGAGCTAGTCAATCCTACACCTGTAATGGCGGCACGTGGTTGTCAAGTGTGAAATTCCGGATGTATGACGTCACATGATGCTATCTATTAGAGGTATAAGAAGCATTTATTTATTGCTTTGTCCTGAACTACAAAGAAATCGCCCCCTAACCATCACTGTCTATCCCTGAAGTGCTCTGCTGAATGTGGGATGGGTGTCCAAACCCGAGGAGTTCTTTGCCTGTCAAACCTCATCAGCAGCCTCCCTCTGGAGGGATGTGGTAATGAGCGGCCTGCAGACTCCAAGGTCTGCAACAATGGCCCCTGTGACAATCGTATTGAGTGGTTCACAGGTCCCTGGAGCCAGGTACCAAAAGCCAAATAACTTTATCTGGAACTTTCCTGTGTGTTAACTGTTTTTCTTCACGTTTAGCTTGTTGTGCTGTATGTTTAACCAGTGCTCTGCAGAATGTGGCACGGGCAGTCAGCAGAGGTTAGTGGCATGCTTAATGAAGAATGATGAAGGATATTCCGTCATGCCGCCCTATGAATGCTCATCCTTGGACAAGCCTCTCAGTCAGCAAAGCTGCAAAATTAAAGCCTGTGGAGCCAAGTGGTATCACACTGACTGGAGTTCTGTGAGTAAAACTTCAAATGTTTTCGCTTTCTGAGCTATTTAGGATGTTTAAAAGAACAATAATCTATGGAACTTTTTGACTAACTACTAAAATCCCCTGCCAACGTCAGCTTTAATGGTATACTTACTGGAAAAACAGGGATAATCCTGAAAATCCTTTTTAAATCTCTTTGATAACCTCTGATTGTAACTCCTAGCTCCTGTTCCAAACTCCTATCCTTACTCCTTTTGTGGAGGCAACAACATAAACACTATCCTAGTTAGAGCGGAGCTCTGGACTGCTGCGCTGAATCCAGTGTCTTTAGCTTACAGACAAAATTATGTTATGGATGCTGAATGATGTGAAAGATGCTGGTCAAATTGAAACTACAGCCTTGCACTGTTTACACCTTGAAGCTTTCTGTCTCCGGTTCTTTTCCTGCAAAAAAAGATCACTCAGGACAAACTCTTTAAATAATGTATATTTGTTAAATGATCATGAGAGATGAAAACAAATTTTGACAGGAACTGTAATCTTACCAGAGTCTCTTTGATTTAAGGGCTCACATCTCACAGTTAAAGGAGCATTTCATACAATTCCAGTATGCCACATTGTTACATCATACACTTTTGTAAATGAAGAGACATCCATGGCTTCGGCTATATCAAAATATTGCAGAGTGTCCCAGATAAAAACACAGAGAGTGCCCCCATTTCATTCCAAAATCTTGGTTATGTACATAATGAACATGATAATTTATATCCTGACAGACGAACTGTCCTAATTAGAAAAACTATTTGGGAAAACATTAGTTCTGACATGCCAAAGGCAGGTATTATTAGGGATTAATAGGCTCACACATCCCCAGTTAAAATAATCCTTATAACCTCTGTGGAAGAACTGCGAAACACAACAGTTACTCATATGATAAAATCTATTAATTTAATGTTTTATGTATGAAGATTTTCTCTCTTTGGGCTTCCACAACTCTCTTTTTGTACTTATCTACCTGATCCTTTTTTTATACACAGAGTGTATACAAAACGAAATTTCATTTGTACAGCTTTCAGACTGAAGGAGCAGCATGTTAACAGTAAAATAAACAATTCCATTTCATAAAGTGCAGCAGTGATCAAATGTAAAAAACATGAAACATGTTTGTTTTACAGCATTTTTTAAAACAAGATTTTTGTTGCCCTTTGAATCAGACATGGGCAATGTGGAGTCAACAAGTCATCTCCATGTCATGTATTTAATCTACCCAGCCAATTAACCAGGTGAGTCCAATCTGCACAGGTTAATTCACGGTGAAGATTGGACTCACCTGCTTCAGTGGCTGGGTAGAACAAATACATGAAATGGAGATGACTTGTTGACTCCACATTGCCCATGTCTGCTTTGAATTAAACGTCACTTTCTAGAGGGGGCTAGTAAAAAAAAAAGCACATTTTTATAAGAAAACAAGTGAGGTTTTAAAACCCTTGTCAACACTTTGCTTTTCTTTCCATTTTTTTTTTCATAAATAATAAAAAACAACATCCATCCATTTTCTGTCACACTTATCCCAAGCGGGGTCACAAGGGGTGCTGGTGCCTATCTGCAGCTTTCTACAGCCAAGAGAGGTAGGGTACACCATGGACAGGCCGCCAGTCCATCGCAGGGTAACACAGAGACAAACAGGACAAACAACCATTCACACACGCTCACATCTAAGGAGAATTTAGAGAAGCCAATTAACCTAACGGTCATGTTTTTGGACTGTGGGAGGAAGCTGGAGTACCCAGAGAGAACCCACGCATGCTCAGGGAGAACATGCATACTCCATGCAGAAAGACCCCAGGCCAAGAATGGAACGCAGAACCATCTTGCTGCAAGACAGCAGTGCTACCCACTACGCTACTGAGCAGCACTTAAAAAACAATATATACTGATTACTTTTTTTAATTTTGAAAGAAAGTTATCTGTAAAAAAAAAAGGCTGATCTAACAAAAAAAAAAAAGTTAATTTAGTAGACTTGGAAGACAACAACATTTAACTCCCTCTGTCTCCATGGAAGATTTATTTAGCCAAGTTTAATACTGTAAATACTCACAACAGATGTGGGTCCACCCAGGTGTACTTTTAAGTAAAACGTTTCTGTATATGTAAGCTCCTGTGAAAAAAAAGTGGACACATGTTTATTAAAAAATAATTACTTCTTTTTGTTCGTCCTGATCAACAAGGTTAATTTATCCTATGTTGTTCTTTTTTGTGTCCTGTTATGCTAATATAGCTCTGAGAGTCGATGTCCCACAGCTAGATCAAAGCCCGACAGATATTTTTTTCCACAGGCAGACAATTATGGTTGTTGTCATAACGTTCCCATTGTTATTTATATTAAACTTCATTGAAAATGCTTGATTTATTTTAGATAAAATCAGTCCAACTGCCAGAAACGACCCCTGGGATGCACTATGGAAGCAAACTAAAGTTTCCTTGTATGCAGAATTTATAACAGCATAAACTACACTTAACACAGAGTTTTTCTCAAAGCGGTGCCTCACTCAAAGCCCTGATTTATCCCTTTTCTAGTGTTCAAAAACATGTGAGGGAGGTTTCCGCGTTCGGGAGGTGCGCTGTCTGTCAGACGACATGATGTCCTCCGAGGCCTGTGATGAGCAGCTGCGACCAGCAGAGAGGGAAGACTGCAGTCCTGAACCCTGCATACCTCAAATAGGTCATCCAGCTTTTATCACATTGTCTGGAATACTACTAATCCCTCAAGTATTTCAGCATTCTTGTCCGCTGTAGAAACTGTAAAGTCGGACCTGTTCCACCGAAATTAATTCTCATTTGCCTTTACTATCTCTATGTCTAGGAGAGGAAATCATCCTGGAAGCTAATAATTTATGGTTTTGCCTTTTTTCCCCAGATCTGAACTGCAGGGACAAGTACTTCAACTGCAATGTGGTGGTCCAAGCTCGCCTCTGTGTGTACGATTATTACAAAACAGCATGCTGTGCTTCATGTTCACGTGGGGAGAACAGACAGAAAACCCACCGAGGTCACAGCTAGCACTGACCTCCTCCTCACAGAGAGACAGACAGACAGGACCTCTGTCTGAAAGGACACTCGTTAAATGAACAAGGATGGAAGCCTGAGGAGGACATTTTTTGCTGGATCTCTTTTGCAAGTAGCTGCTGGGGAATGAAAAAGGCTCTAAATCATGTGTGACATGAACCCAGGTGCCTGAGAAAGTAAACATTTACTGGATGAGAGAGAGCCATAACAAACATTGGAATCCAAAGAACTTGTTGAGTCCTTTTCCTTTACTTTGAGATGAAGAGTTTGCTGTTGGCTGTTGTGCAGAGAAGACTAACCTTCCTTTGAGGATATACTCAAACAAAATGCTTTCAGTTCAGCCTTTTTAAAATATGGTTTTCATCCACTATGAACCAAATTTGGTTTATGAAACAAGGAGAGAACAATAACAAGGTTTTCACAAACAGATTAAACCCTCCATGGGGCTAATGATGTCCCTACCTACATTCCTGAGAGGTATAAAAGCAGCTTATGCAATATATTTATGTGTATATATGTTTGTGTATACAACAAAAATGTTGGATAAATGTTTTGCTTATAATGGCTCGCTGACCTCTCCACAGAATATGAAAGGAGGAGGGGGGGACCCTCGTTATTTATGTATGTGGCTCTGTAGGGTACTTCTTTATTAGCCACCGGTGGCTCGCTTTCAGCTGTTCTACTGAACTGAATGCAGGATGACAGAACCAGATGCTCTTCACACTGTTGATTTCTGGCTAGTTGAAACATGACATCTTCCTTCTCCCCCATCGGTCATGATCTCTACACAACTTCACATAAATGCCTTTGAAATACTGAACTGTTGTAACTGCAATTTGCAGCTCTTGGTTAGATTTGCTATGCCTGTGGTTTTTCAAGTCACTCAACAGGCTCAACAAAATTAACTCTTCTATAGTGTAGGAAAGCTAAGTTTGTAATAAAGAAATCACTGCAGAGTTTGATATATTCCATTCCATTTTCTGTCACGCTTTATCACTGCTGGGGTCGTGAGGGGTGCTGGTGCCTATCTCCAGCTGTCTACGGCGAGAGGCGGGATACACCCTGGACAGGTCGCCAGTCCATCGCAGAGTTTGATATAATTGAAACATTTATTAACCACATACCTTTACATTGTTGGGTCTGGTGTGTCTCATCTTTAGCTTACTACACTCAAGTTGTGTACTGCTAGATATTGGTGTTTTGTTATTATGGTAGAAAAATTTAATTCCTGTATATTCTGTCAACCCTAAAACAGCGCTGACCTCCAACTCAGTGAAACACCTGTGAACACCAGACATGGCTCCATAGGTTAAGGTTTGATGAACAGGAGGAATGAAGCAGCTTTAGCCCATGTCCTGGTTATGTCTCCAAGTGGAGATCTAAAAATACTCCGGCTGCAGTCCAAACCTTAAAGTCGTAGGGAAGTCATATTTAAATGTCAAATCATTCTGGCTTAAACATGTATATAAATGTACTCTTTTGTCCCAAAATTTCTATTAAAAAAAACCCTGTCTTAAAACCTGTAGTTTTTTTTTATTATTTCATGCAGGTCAGTTAGTTATAAGTCAGCCTGTACACCTAAATTCGGCCAATCATATATTAACGGTCAACTGTAAATCACATTTTTTCGGTCATAGTATCTTGACTCATATGTCGCAGCTAATATATCCCCAGTGTTCACGGGGATGGACGTCTGTGTCTTCGGCAGGCGTAGAGCTAACAGAACTGGCAGCGTTGCGAGGCAAGGGCTCAAACATGGACGGATGGAAGCCTTCTACACCAAACCAAGCTTCTGCCGCCCTGGCGTCCTCTTCCACAACATCTTCGTTCCCGCTTTCCTCCTCTAAATAAAAAATGGATGACGGAGGAGACTCATCCACGACCTCCGACACTAAACTCTCCTCCTCTTGCATGTTTCCGCTGTCCATAGCGTTCCTTGACAGTGTCGTTGCTAAGTGCTACTTGGTCCCAATTTAATTTCCCATTGGGAACCTACTAGCACTAAGTTGCTAACTGGTTAGAAACCGGCCACAATTAAACTTGCCAACCTTCCGCCACGACGATGCCCTCTTGATTCACTTTATTCACTCGTGTAAAGTCGGGCACGACTCAGGAGAATTTGGAAATGCAAGGGTTGGAACATTCTTTTCCCTACAACGTTAATCTACCTGAAACTCTTAAACGCATCAAAATCTTTTGTAGTTCCAGTTGTCTTTGCTAAATACACTCTTTATTTCCACCACGCTTTTTTTTTACCTCTACTCCACTTCTCATTAATGCAATCATTGGTGGGATTTAAAGGAGCCATACATTTGACTGTTTCATGTTAAAATGTGATTCGAGTTTATTTAAATCCTGCCAAAAAAATTATCATTTTAAGAGTGGATTGTTTTTTTTTTTTTTTTTTCATCCCTGCCTAACGTGTAGAGCAAGAGCGAGTCAAATTGGTCCTCCTCCTGTACTGATGTCAATCCTGGAAGGACGCTAACAATAACCAGTGTCCTCTTTATTGCATCATAATGAGATATTCTAACAAGCAGGGTCTCACCTGGAGGTAGTAAGTGTTTCTGCTTGTGTAAAAGACCAGGAAACAATGGTACAAGAATCATGGCCAACTGCTAATGTTGCTAATGCTACATCCACATGAACGCGCACACAATTCAAATTCTGGTGCGTACCTTTGCAAGAAAAATGGGGGTATGAAAAGTGATACAATGAGCCCTATTTAAGTTTATTTTTTTCTTTTAAGTTTTCCTAAAACTTATTAAACATGAGTTTAAAGTCATTTTGAGAAGGATCATGTAAGTAAAATACTCGATTAAAACTCCTTTAAGACTTTTGAGAATGATCTTGTGGATCTGTTCCTCCCAGAGAACCATTATAAATTTAGCTACCTCTCCAACATATTTTTTTATTTTTCACACCTGTGTTAACAGTTTTTTTTCTGAGAAATAAGCAAATCTGTTTTATTTAGTAAGAATAATTGCAAACCCACAATTTAATTAACTATCCTTGAGTAACATATTTTTTTAAACAGAAAGATCTGTTTAAATTCATGGCATCTTTTGATCATTTAGGACAACTTTTTTATGTAGAGAGAGTTTGAAGCATCATCTTATATTCCACTGTTTCTTTAAATGGTCTATGTTGAAAAATATAAACAAATATATGGTAGAAATTAACCTGTTTTTGAAAATGAAGCAGAGATTATTAGGTCAAACCTTTTTTAATCAATCACTTTTTCTTTTTAAGAACCAAATCTCCCTTAAAATATCTCAACCACTTATTCAACTATTTTCTCACTGTTCTTACAATTATTAACCAACAAGGTCACTTCGGATGGTAGAAATTGTTCATTTTCAGTAAAGGTTTATGGAGATCCTGTTTCTGGGGGAGACTCACCTGCATGTTGTGAAATATATTTGCCACATTATAAAACCTGTTTTTGGCAAGTGGCAGCTTCTCATTTTTGGTCTGGACAAAATACCTTGCTGTCAACCCAAACATGTAGGTCCTCTGAACATGTGGTGTTATCTGAGTAACAGTTCATAGATCACATAAACAAAACAACAAAATAGTCTCTAAATGCCTACAGAAACAAGCATCAGTTGAAGGTTAATTATTGCAAATTACAATTTTTAAACTGTTGACATCAGTTTTTATTTTTGTGCCTATAGGTCAATATTACTGAAATGTGAAGGAGACTGTTAAAGATTGACAACCCAATCCACTGCCTTTAATGCATTTATTTGTTAAATTTGCAGGACACTTTAATAATATAACCCTGAACAAATCAGTAGTCTGTAGGAGTACTGTAAGGGCTTTATCGGTAATCAAAGAGGGTCTTAAGCTGAATTATATTTATCTTGGTTTTCCCTGGATGGAGATTGTGGCCACAAATATATTATTTTAGAGCCATCTAGTGGATTGTTTGTGCAACACCATGCCACTTATTTAGCTTCTACACTAGTATTGTTCCAATAAAAAACTTAATTTTTTTTTAATTTCTCAAAATTTTAGAAGTAGAATCATCATCTTAGGTTAAGTAGGTACTGTGCTCATATTTAAAGGTTTAGTGGTTACATGTTAAATGCTGATTTTAAATCAGCAGGTGTTTGAGATTGTAGTTGAAAAGTTATTTTATTTTTTAAATTAGGCATTTGGCCACTTGCTGTACTAATGTTAATGCATGCCTCCTCCAAAATGTTTGAGATGGCTCACAGTCCCATCAACTGTGTAAAGCCAAGATGAGCTTTCACATTCAACGTGTTCTCTTATGCTTATCCGGGACCAGGTTGCAGGAGAAGCAGTGGTTCCTATGGCAACACATTAATGCCCCTTGTGTATGGCTGTACCCCTGTGGCGCAGGTTAACATAACATCAAACATTTGCCAAAAAGTTTGTCTTAAAAATAAATCTAACTAGTCACATAGACCTATTTCAAAGAAGACCTTCCATTTAGGGATTATTTACGCCTTTTTCCTAATGTGTGATTTTCTGTCAGTGTGATGAAGATACAGCAAACCAGCGGAATTTGCATTTGAAAGTATGTGTTTCCTCTGCCACTAATTCGCCGTTACAGCTGCTGCCAAACCCAGCGACCTATCACTGATTCAGACTGGCTATCTAAGGGCTGAATGTGTTGTGTATTAATCTGCACTAATCATAAGATAAAATAAAGTTAATGTTTTATAAGTTTAAAGTTGTTTTCCCAAATACTGTTATAAGAGCAATTCAAGGCCAAAAAGGAAAAGAAAAAAACAGAGCAATGAATGGAGCCATTCAAGGCCAGAGAGGAGAAAAGCAGAGCAGTGAGTATGTGTAACTATTGCACCTGGCCCCAATAGGAGTGGAGTCTGCAGGACAACGCAGGGTTGAGGCCCCTTAGTGATAAGAAAGCACACTCAATAAAAATGAAATATTTGACATCTCAAGGCTGCCCAGCTCAGCAAAATTTGGCCATACAAAAAGAGTTGTTATTTTCAAGGCACACGGAGCGGTAATGGTCCCAGAAAGGGTGATGCTTTGACTAAGACACGAGGGGGGAGCAGTAGGCCAGACTGACATGGCTTGAAGCAAGGGAAAGATGTGTTCTGACATGTTTGTGACTAAACCGTCATGAGTTTCTGATTTGAATGCACCAGATGTTTTCATGGCCTGAGAGATTGCTCTCAAAAGAATGAGATGTCTATGAATGTCACCGTGTTTTGCAGATAAATATCAATGTGACCTTTACCAAAGACTGAAATATGTTCTGAAGGGGGTTTTCCACCGATAAGAAATGTATAAAAGGGAGCTGTGTTCACCATTTGTTCAGCTTCGGCTCACCGGTGACCAGCTCAGTGTGAATGTGTTGTGTTTAACAATAAACACACTGGACCTGGACTCAGCTGCCTCTGCCTAAATTTTTTGATCTTTGTTTGAGACTTTTTCTGCTTTTTAAGAACTTTGAATTTTTATAAAACTTAGCTTCAATTTTAAGTCGTCAAGAAGAGAATTATAGACGACAAATGGTCCACTCACCTGACTCACTACATGGTTTGGAATGGCACTAAATGTGGCGCGAAAATGCTTAGGGTTAGTGTTTAGGGGCTGCTTTGGGATTCAGCGTGTAATCGGCCTCCTCCAAATGGGACATGCCTGGAACAACATCCAGGGAGAAGCGTCCAGCTAGGAGGGATCTGCGACAGATGACACAGCCACCATAACTGACTCCTCTTGATGTGAAAGAGAAGCGGCTTTACTCTGAGGATGACCATGCTCCCCACCCTGTCTCTAGGGAAGTGCCAGGCCCTGTGATGAAGGCTAATTTCCACTGCTTGTATCCGGGATCTCGTTCTATCCCGTATGATCTAGCTTTCCTGACCATAGGTCAGGAAACCAACTGGTAAATCGAGAGCTTTACCTTTTGGCTCAACTCTCTCTTTCCCAAAAATGACCAATGCAGCATCATTATAGCGACAGACTCCCTGATTCAACTCCTTCTC